CAGTAGATTCTGTGAAGCGCTTTGAGACGTCTCGAAGACATGTTAAGGCCCTATGTCAAATCCAAGGATTATTATTATTATTATTATTATCACAAATGAATCCTAAAATGAAGGTCAACAGTTTCACACTGCGCTGTGATGCTGGACATCGAGAGGCCGAGGAACCAACTGGACAGGATTTTATTTACTTTCACTTTTAAATTTGAAACAAAAATCAATAAGCCGAGTCTCCAGCCAGTAGTCCGGTCAATTTAGCATTCGTCAAATGGCAGCCCAGACATGCAGTCAACTCGAGACGAGCCCGAGAATTAGGAACCTCAGGAACAGCCACAGGCTGGGGGACAACATACAGTCACTCCACTTCACAGTAAATCCTGCGAAGCGCTTGGAGACATCCTTCCGATCTGAAAAGTGTTGCACTAAATGCAAAGCCCGATTATACTAATTATGAATGGTAATTTGGTGCAGGGACTTCTCACCCGGAAGGACGTCTCAAAGCACTTCACGAGATTTACTGTGCAATGGAGTGACTGTTTATCTGTGGCCACAATTGCGCACAGCAACGTCCCACGAACAGCTGTGAAACCAGCGACCAATTCTATATGGGGTGGGGGGGGGCTTCTTGCCCGGGATAGTGGGAGAGAGAGAGCCCCTTCTCTTATCGGTTAGTGCCACAGGATCTTTAGCCTTCACTCGAACAGCCGGACGGGACCTTGGTTTAAACGTCTCATCCAAAGGACGAGTCATAGAGTAATAAATTGCTTTATTTTGCAACTCTTCACAATGTTCTTCGCATGCAGCAGAGAACAAAACTACTGTATCGCCAGCTACTGTGACTGCACCACCCACACATAACTGATCACACCTTCAATCCCCTTCTCCTTATGAACAGACCAATTTATACGAGCTCAGAAACAAGGCGCCGTTATTGCATCCAGCCTTTCTGAAATGAGCCCCGATGTCACAGCTGCTCGCCCCCTCTCCTCGTCGCCCATTCCTGTTGATAATTTACTATTTGTGTAAAGAAATAAGTGCCGGCATCTTTGCTGAAATTGACCTTCACAATTCTGAACCTCATTTCGCTCGTTCTCTAGGCAGAGAAAATATTCCTAGTTAGCACCTTATACGCCTCTACCTTCCCTCTGATATCTCCCTTCCCTCCCCATCACCCCCCCCCCCCCCCCGACTCAGGAGTCCTAGCTCATTCAATCATCTCTCATAGCTCATCACTCTAACACAGAGGACCAACACTCTCTCTCACCCTCTCTCTCTCTCTCTCGTCTACATTGCCTCTCAGGTCCCCAGTGGAGCCTTGTAACTGGAAGAGAATTAAAATAACAAGCGACACACACACACACACACACAGAGACACACGAGCGAAAAAAAAATTACAGTGCCCATAGAAGCGCTGCCTTGCTCGAGCTGGTGTTTATCCACAACCAACGTTACGTTCCTCTTTAACGTCGGCGAGAGGGTCCGTTATTAATTCTGTCACAAGCAATCGAAGCATCCAAAGCACCGCTTTTCAGAATCCCAGCCGTATTTAACGTTTAACGCCTCAAAATGCTTCGAATCGACCCCTTGCCACAAAGGATCGCTAAAAGCGAGCTTTAACTGTTCAAACGCAAACAAACAAACCCAATAGGCAAACCATAAATCGCTTTCCAATTATTCCACAGGGAGCATTTTCAAACCGGTTCTCGGTGTTCAAGGACCGAGACAGGAGCAAATGATTAGTTTTATTTGAAAATGCAGAAGATTGTATCTTTTGTTTCGCTCATTTTAAAAAAAAAACATTTATATTATTTATAAACATAGGCAACGTGCACATGTGTCAGAGCAAGCTCTCGCTCTCTCTCTCTCTGTCTCTCTGCAGGGCTCTCCAAAGCATTTCTCCATCTGTAGCTCCAGCTTCAAACTCCTCGATGGAAACTTGCGTCAGATACAGACAGGAACGTCTAAACGTTCAACCATTGCGGCTTCGGTACTGAACGTGTGCATCGACTGACGCGATTCCTCTGACTTTGTCCTTTCCCGTGCATTGAAAATAACAATGATAATAAGCCTTGCATTTGATACAGCGCCTTATCACGTCGTTGAGACGTCTCAAAGCGCTTCACAGAATACATTGTAAAGTGGAGTGACTGTATTTTGTGGGTGAAATGCAGGAGTCAATTGCGCACGGCAAAAACACTCGCCAAGGTTAGCACAGCGGAGGCGAGTATCTGCCTAAAACGCAGGTCTGCTCTGCCCCCGGTTTCATTTCAAGTGAGGCGTTTCAAGAGCACTTTAAAGTTAACAGGACCGGTCTTCCTTTAATGAGAAATAGCAGTTAAACAAACACCTTCGGCTCATTCCTTTCGCCCACAAAACGCACAGTCAGTTCAGTTTACGATACATCCTGTAAAAGCCTTTCGAAACGCCTCGAAGACTCGACAAGGCACTGCATCAAAACGCAAGGATTATTATTTTGGGTGTCGGGGGTGATGGAAAGTCATCTAAAGAAAATTGCGGTCTAACATAGTTTGAGGGTGTGGATGCCTTGGGGTTACAGAACACTCCAGGGGGAAGTGCAAACATGAATTGGCTTGGAAGTCGAACAGGGGGCCTGTGAGTGTAAAAGTCGGGGTAGGTGTGGTGCAGAGATTGGAGAGGTTCATATAAGCAACAGAGGGCGCTATTTTAGACAGTAGTTAGAGAGAGAGAGACACACACATTGGAAGAACCCAAACCCAAATCACATTTACCCTATTGCAATTGCTGATGGCTCCCAAACGCTTCACTCTGAACAGCTGCAGTAAAGATCTCATCCATTCCCTCTATTTCCCCCATTTCCAAAAAGCAAAATCCATTCTTATTTGAACTGAGACAAAGCATCTTTCTGAACTTTGGGACTCCACACACACACACACACACACACACCTCCCCACCCCCTGTCCCCATTCATCCCATCAACAATATGTTCAAAGGTTCCTACTTAAAAATCTGGGGGGGGGGGGGTTGTTTCTTGGCCAAGAATGCACAATTTCTTCTGAACTGCTCAGATTTTTGCATCAATTGAATGCAAATAAATACATAAAGAAGTGTGGATAAAGAGAGAGAAATTGGGGTGACATAAGAGTTTGCTCTGAACTGGAGTGAATGGGAAAGAAACAAATGTTTAAATGTATATATATATTTATCTTACATATATATATATATATAAGTTCCATCGTATTTCACTTAACCTTCACCCCACAAACACGGTTAGAACAGCTGTAAGGGATGAATTCAAACTAGATATGGCTGTCGCCCAACCAATGGCATTGACAGCTTCATGAACAAACTCTTAAGAAATAAGAATAAAACAAAAGTCCAGTGTTTTTTTTGGGGGGAATCCTCCAAAGGGAACGTGTAGCGCATGTTAGCACATCGTTCGCAACGAATACTGTGCCCAAAACAGCTAATGCACCATCTTCAATCGAGGAACTAACCCCATGCATTAGAATTTCTTGCTCTGGATGTCTTAGGCAACGAATTCGAACGTCGCAATTTAACACGAATGAATTTGCGACAATTCTTATTCGACTCCAAATGAATAATTTTAACCCTTCCAAGTACTTTGGCTCATCCAAAGTTCCTACTGCAATGCAAATGCTTAACATAGAGTGAGAGAGAGAGAAAGAGAGGGGAAGGGGGAAATAGAGAGAGAGAGAGAGAGAGAGGGGGAAGGGGAAAATAGAGAGAGAGATGGGGGGAGAGAAAGTGAGAGTTGGGAAGAGGGGAAAGGAGATGGAAAGAGGGGAAAGTTGAAAAGATGGAGAGAAAGAGAAGGTGAAGGGGAAAATAGAGAGAGGGAGAGAAAGCCTGAGTTGGGAAGAGGGGAAAGGAGATGGAAAGAGGGGGAAAAGGAAAAGAAAGAGGTGAACGGGAAAAAAGAGAGAGAGAAAGGAAGAGAAAGCGAGGGGTGGGAAGAGGGGAAGGGGAAAGGAGAGAGAAAAGCAAGGGGGGGGGAAGGAGGGAGAGAAAGAGGGGGGAAGAGAGAGAAAGGGATGGGAAGAGTGAGAAAGAGAGGGGGAAAGAAAGAGAGAGAGAGAGGGGGGGAAGGAGAGAAAAAGAGGGAGGAAAGGGGAAACAGAAAGAGGAGGAAGGGGAGAGAGAGAGAAGGAATGAGAGAGAGAGAGAGAGAAGAAGAAAAAGAAAATGGAAGAATCATCGTTTTGTTGTTGACTAAAAGCTGTTGGGAGGACAGAAAAGGTTTTGCTTTCACATATTACTTTGCCAGAGACACAGCGACATCCTCTCTCCTTTTGTTTTTTCCTCTCTTTCCCCCCCTCAATAAATAAATAAATAAATAAAACAAATAAAATAAATAAATAAATAAGAATCCAAAGGCACAACTTGCATCAATGTGCTTTCGGAATGAATTTGATGAGATGGAGAGAGGATGGAGAGAGGAAGGGAGGGAGGGAGGGAGGGAGGAAAGAGAGATAGAGAGAGAGAGAGAGAGAGAGAGAGAAAGAGAGATAGAGAGAAAAAGATAGAGAGAGAGAGAGAGAGAGAGAACAGATGGCAAGAATCTTCCTAAACCCTTTCCCTTGTACAGTGTTCACAGTTTCCATCCCGACACCATCACACGCACAAACCGCCTTAACCAGAGGACCACTTTGTTTCACTGTGAAACGGTTCCCCACAAACAGACGCCCAGTCCTTCCTCACACAGTACAATCTATCCCCTCATCCTACAACACGATTTGTCCTCTATCCAAGAATATAGTTGATCCTTTATCACACCGTACAATTCATCCTTCATCCTATAACATGATTTGTCCTCTATCCTATAATGTAGTTTATCCTTTATCACATAGTGCAATTTATCCTTTATCCTTTAATAGCATCTTTTATCCTACAATTTATCCTTGATCATATATAATATATACTGTGTTCTATATATCTCTCTCTCTATATATATATATATTTATCTACACACACATATATATTGCAGGCTCCTGAAGTCTTACCTTGACTGCAAACCTTCACCAGCAAAACCAGGAGAAAACAAATCGCTTTCATTTCCAATCGTTCGCCACAGCAAAGGCTGTTCTTACTCATCCCGGAGATTGCCAGAGCACATCCGCGAAAGAGAGTCTCTTTCTTTCTCTCCCTCTCTCTCTCTCTCTGTTTCTTTCCTCTCCTTTACTCCCTCCCTCTCTCCCTCCCTCTCTCTCTGTCTGTCCAAAAACTTCCTCTTTGGCAGCTTCAGGCAGAAACCTTTCTCCTCCTTTTCTTCTTCTGTCTCTCTCACTCTCTCTATATATATATATATCTCCCACTCACATACACACTCTCTCTCTCTATCTTCCACTCTCATTCACACACACACTCTCTCTATCTCTCTCTCTCTATCTTCCACTCTCATTCACACACACACTCTCTCTATCTATCTATTTATCTTCCACTCTCATTCTCACTCACACACTTTCTCTCTCCCCCACTCATACACACACACACTCTCTCTCTCCCTCTGTGTGTATAAGACGACGAGAGAGTAAGTAAACTGGTTGTGTTTTTCCAACCCCCAATAGAAAAAAATAGCTGATATCACAGCAGTGCTGTCCAGACAGCAATGTGTCCAAACCAAAGCTCCTGAATGGGTGGCTGCAAAAACGTGTGTCTGCAATTGCCTTTGCGTTGCAGAGGGATTTAATCTGTCTGCTGTGTTAAGAGGATTGTCTGTGTGTGTGTCTGTCTCTCTCTCTCTCTCTCTCTGTGTCTCTGGTTAGCACCACAAACAGCTCCAGCTGCTGTCACCTACCCACCACGTGTAGCATGACGTTCACCAACCAACCAACCCTTCAAACTGACCTGCCTTGGGACCACTTCAGCACCGCCTTCAAAGTTGCAGTGCTGCGCTCTTTCCTTACGTCTTACTTTCTTCCCTTTCCTCCCCATTCTCTTCCCCCCCCCTCCCATCCTCCCCGGGACCGGGGAGCCCTCACTTAGGGACGTAAGAATTTGCTCGGCGCGGGATGTCCGACTTAGCAAGGTCTTATCCGGTTCGCCTTCCGCCGGTCCTGCTGTCATTTTCTGGCAGGGATCTTGTCCAATTTGTTCTTGAAACAAACGGCATTTTCCGCTTCCGCCGTCTGTCTCCACCGGGAACCTGTCCCGTAGGTTTACTGCTCGCTCACTGAAGTAGTGTTTCCGCAGGTTTGCTCCGAATTTACTCCCCCCCCCCTCCAATTGCAGGCTGTGTCCTCTGGTTCTACTGTTCAGAACAAATTAGTTAACTCAATTGCTATTAACTCTGCAAACCAAAGCCCTAACTGCGCAGAGTAAGGCGGTCCTAGCTGGACAAACAGCAGGGAAACTTGGCTTGATGATGCCAGGTGACACGGTTTTAGCTGCTTAGACCCCCCCCTCCCCCACCACCAACACACACTGGATGGATTTTTAGTACACTTGTCAATTTTTAGAAGCAAGTTTCCTTACTCCACACGCCTCTGTTTAGCAAGCAATAAGTAGGTTGTTTGTCGATTGGAGGATCACTTTCTGGGGGTAATAATCCCTCCAAAAATACTTGGTCAGTGGATCCATGACTGTTTGTGGGACATCTCTGTGCGCAATTGGCCGCCGCGTTTCGCCCGCAAACTATACGGACAATTCACTTCACAGTATATCTTGTGAAGCGCTTTGAGACGTCTCAACGGCGCGATAAGGCGCGCTGGGTAAACATGCGTGCGGAGTAAGGGAGTTTTGCCTAAGGTTTCGACCCGCCCGGGAATTGAGGCATTAAGTTGCTGTTAAGGTTGTGAACTGCTATTACACAACGCGCCTGACATTAACAAGACCCGTTTGCTGTATGTGGGTTTATCTGTGTAATGCCTCTGTATAAATACTAAAGACACTGCACAGGGTTCAATTTTTAGAAGCAGCAAGTCTGATTGTGTGTGTGTGTGTTAATGTATTAAAAAAAACTGCACTGATATCTTCAAGGATGTTTTTCGGGGGTGGGGTTGGGGAATAAAAATGGCCGAGGTTCAAAGAAAGGAAAAATTCCAGTTTTTGAAGTGCCCATCAGCGCATTGTCAGCGTCGGTAAGAGAAGGTGTCTTGAGGATTTGCGACTTCAAAGCATCTTTACTCTTAAGCAGAAACAACACTCAGATCCCTGTGCAGGGCCAAGATTATAATAGTACGTAATAGTACTGTATGTCACACGCATCACCAAAAGAATACAGCAGAACCATTTTTCTGTCCCTCGTTGTATCATTTCTGTTTACCTGCTCCTCCGTGGCACAATCCAATCATTTTGTTTTTATAAAAGAAAGGTTAAATACACACACACACACACACACACACATCCCCACTTGAGTTGCAGAATCATTGCGAATACAAATTGAGTTGAGCGATCAATACTGAGGCCCCTTTTTCCCCATAGTTTGCCTCACCAGAGATAAATAACCGTGGTCCAAGCTATAACGCCTTTCACGTCAAGTTGATGTCTCAAAGCACTTCACAGGATTTTACTGTGAAGTGGACTGACTTTGTGTTTTGCAGGTGAAAGCACCAGCCAATTTGCTCTCAGCGAGGTCCTACTACCAACCGTGAAGTGAATGACCTATTTTATTGGGGGGTGGCGGGGGGAAGGGGAATTATTGGCCAAGACACTGGGAGATGAAAGGCATCATGTAGCTGCAGATTTTATGGTTGTTTGTGAGCATGTGTTATTTTAATTTTCAACCAAGGGGTAGATATTTATTTTTAAAGGGAGCGGAAACAACACTTAAAACAAACATATTTCAACCTTTCACTGGCCTCTTCAGTGGGTTTTACTTTGAAGTGGCGTTTTCAGCACTGGGAACCATTTGGCATTGCTTTGCAAAGTGTTTGGAAATTCATTGTGCATCAAAGCCATTCATATCTCAAGGATATTATTTGTATCATAAAAATGTCACGCCATTCCAAACAAATGAGCGTGTTACATTGTTGGATCACAGAATAGCAATGATTAAATAATCGACCCACCCATACACTAGGGAGACAGGAATAAGGCAGAATAAGGAGAGAGGAACAGAGGAGAATAGCAGAGAGGAATAAGGGAGTTATGGGAGAGGGAGATAATAATAATAATAATTCTTGCATTTGATATAGAGCCTGATCACATCTTTGAGACATCCCAAAGCGTTTCACAGAATATACTGTAAAGTGAATTGACTGTATATTTTGTAGGCGAAATACGGCAGCCAAGGGGAATGGAGGGAAATGGGAGAGGGAATAGGAGATGGGAATAGAGCAAAATGGGAAGAGGAGAATAGAATACCAAACTGCCCGCTACCTCCGTTCCGCGGGCTCCGGTCTGCTCCATCGTTGGCCGGGCTTTTAGCCTCTCTGCCCCCATAGTCTGGAACTCCATCCCACAGTCCCTTCGCCTCACTTCCTCCCTTGCCTCCTTCAAGGCCGGTCTCAAGACCCTTCTCTTCGATCGTGCCTTCGGTCACCCTCCCACCTCTCTGCCTTCCCTCACCCTTACCCCACCCCTCCCCCATGCTCGGGTCCCGACCCCTGACTGTCCAGAGCCTTGGGACGTCCTCCCGACGTGAAAGGCGCGCTATAAGTGTAATTTTGTTGTTGTTGTTGTAGGAGAGGGGAATAGAAGGGAATGAGAGAGGGGAGTAGGCGAGGTAGTTTAGGAAGGCTGGAGGTTTGTGAGGAGTATTAAACGCTGGCACGGATAACCGTGCAATTCATTGCAATTCTTGGATTCTTTCATCCCACAAAAAGCGTTGGTCCATCAGCCTAAAATCTAAATAACTGGCAGCATCAGCTGTAAGCCGTGAGCAGGTTCATTTTCTTCCCCGAAATCTCGAAATGTTTTGTGCAGTTCATTAAATTTTTGGGGGTGATGCCAAACATTAGATGGATTAAGAACTGAAGCGATTCCAATGTTCGAGAAAGGACAGAGATGTGTGCCTGGGAATTAGAAGCCTGTTAACTTGACATTAGCAGTAGAATCGTATAATTGGGTACATTATTAAGGAAGCAAGTTGGAATGAGCTGGTAAGATTAAATGTAATACGTCTCAGATGCATGGGTTTATGAAAGCAAGCTCCCGCCTAAATATTTACTGGGACTTTTGTAGGAGATAATTGAATTTCAGATTGACGATGCTTGACTTGATTTTTTTTGAATTAAGAGAATCACTTAAAGGTCCCGTTCAAACAAGACAGAATTTTTTCTTATTAATAACAATCATAATCAATAATAAGCCTCGCATTTGATATAGCGCCTCTCACGTCAGGAAGACGTCGCAAGACGTTTCACTGGACTTTACTGCGAAGTGTACTGAGTGCGTCTTTTGTAAGCCAACGAGGCAGATGATTTGTGCACGGCAACGTGCCCTGCAAACAGCCACGAAGTGAACGACCGATATTCTATTCAGGGGGATTGTCGGTGACCAGGACAGCGAGAGAGAAAATCCCTTTTCCCTTTTCATGGAATTCTACGCAGAAATGATTTCAAATTGAACTTGAGGACGGAAAGCGGTAAGTTAGCTTTAAATCAGCCGTAATGATCAGCCCTGGTATTTTTCCTGCCATAATATGTACGTATTGTTAATAACTGCAACAGGGATATAATAATAATCCTCGCATTTGATACAGCGCCTTATCACGTCGTTGAGACGTCTCAAAGCGCTTCACAGAATATACAGTAAAGTGAACTGACCGTATATTTTGTAGGTGAAATGCAGCAGCCAATTGCACACAGCAAAGTCCCCGCAAACAGTCGTGAAGTGACCAATTTATTACTATTTATTTTTGATATATATATGAGACGGCGCAAAAGAAAGCGTGCATTTATCAATACAAAACAAGACGTGTTGAGGGAGGGGGTTCGTGATCCAAAGGGATTTGATTTCAATTTTGGGGACGTGAGTACCAGCAAAGTTGATTCAATATTGATGAACATGAAGCTGGGTCTAGTGCTAAGAATAATACATGTGATCACTCAACAGGGAGAGGGCCTAACCGGGAGCGGGTGATGAACAGGAGGAGATCTTGAATACGACGTGTGACTAATCATTAAAGCATCTTACTTTCAGTGTGAGGCAGCAATAGCCAAAGCAAGAGGGAAATAAAGAAGCTCATGTTGTATAAACGGCTGTTCGGGAGAGGAACATTGATGTTCAATAGAGAATTAATCAGAGCATACTTAGAGCATTACATCTCATTCTGGTTTCTCTGCACAAAGAGATGAGAATAGGACTGAACGAGCTCACAAGGTCACAGATGAGATGTACTTTGGCGAACAAGGAATGTGGGG